CGTGTCTCTCTGGCTGGCCCACGCTGGCTACAGGTTTTGTTGTTGTTCATTTTGGTTTTCTTTCTCTCCTCCTCCTCTCTGCCTGGGTGGAGCTCATTACGGGCTCTCGCTCTTGGCCCACGCACCCGTGTGATGATGTCCACCTGCGGCTGATCGGGCTGATTTCCCCAGCTGCTATTTAAGGCAGTGGCACAGAGCAGCTCACCGCTGGAACGTTAAACTACCTGAGTTCGTGCTCGCGGCTTATTCGAAGAAGTTTTGTTTGTTTTTCCTGTTGTGGAACTAACCGTGCACTTCTTGTCTGTAGATTCTGGACCAAATCACCGGACCTGTCCAAGTGGGGCAGTGTGTGGAGTGTGGGAGCGAGTGCGGCTGAAGAGGAGTGCGTGTGTGCGGAGGAGCGGTGGCGGTGACTGAGTGGAAAAGGAAGCGCGTGTGTGGATTCCCCCCCCCCCCCCCCCTTCTCTCCCTGGAGCCCTGGACCCCCTCCCAACTCACTGTACATATATTTTGCACTAAGGTGATCCCCATTGTAAATAAATCCCCTTTTGTGTTTCCTTGAAAAGAACTGTCTGCGCGTGAGTCCGTTCAGTAGCCATGACAACTATGCTTTTAAAGCCTTTGTGGTACACAAAGGCAAAATTACAAAAGAAATGTGACATTGTCCAAATACTTATGGACCTAACTGTATCATCACAACATTACAGCCATCATTACAGCATTATAAGCTACTAAATGAGAGCTTCAAGCAAGTAGCGTAAAGAGAAAGGAACTCACAAAGGAATCAGATTACCTCAATCATATCTTCATAGAACATGTAGTGAATGTTTGAGTAAGTCTGTTTCTTCTTCCACCAGCCATTCACATGGTCATACCAGGAGCCAAACACCACTAGGGCCACAGAAACAGGAAAATAGCAGTCATACAGTAAATGAAAATAACTTTAATATAGTATTTTATGCATACTTTTTCCTTCCATGAATCTGTGGATGTAGTTGCTCCAGTCGCCAGGCTCTGGGTGAGCAATATTCATGCGATCAAAATGGAAAAAAGACACCATGTTGTCCTTTGCATTGCGGGCTACATAGACAATCTACAAAAGATTTTTAAAAAGGAAAAACGAACTCTAACTCAAATGAATCTCAAATTCTCTTGGTAGGCTTCAAGTTTAACTTAAGCCAAGTGGAAAACTGCACTATTATCGGTATTATTATCAGCTTCTTGATGATACACTGAGCTGATGCAAACAACAGACAGGAAAATGCAACCTTGCAGTTTTGTTCCCAGAAGGACTTTGGCACAAACTGGACAGGAAAATGAGTCTTAATGAGTCGAGGGGTGGTGGGCAGCTTGTCTGCCAGGTCTTTTCCTGCATGGAGGGATGAAGATGAAAAAAACACAAGTTTGACTGTGTAAAATGTTAATACCAACTAACCAACGGTAACATAGCGATATGATTTTAGTCAAGTTTGAGGAAAAAGAGGCCAACAATCCATAATGGTTTGTAGGTGTTTGTGTAAAATTGGTACATTTGATCAAAAACCTGAAAACAAAGGTGGAACGGCAATCTCCAGGAAGGGCACTCTCTCAAAGATAGGGATGGTTTTCTGTCGTTCTGTCTGACCAAAATACAGCAGGTCAAGAATCTGGGAGACCCATGTGGTTCCTAAAGTGAGAGGGGGGAAAAAGAAGTTAACATGACCCCTACACTGACCTCTATGCACACACTTTGATGAGCTGTAAAGGTTTATACCGCTTTCTTGGACCGACCTGCTTTGGGATATGTTGCAATAAGTATATCATCCGGTCTGGCCTGAAAGTTTTGAACGTTCTCCCAGTTGGTTGTGAAAATGGGAATCATTGAGACTCCATGGAAATCAAACAGTTGTTGTCGAGAAGGAAAAACTGCCTTTGGGAAAAAAGCAAAAACCAGACTTTTTAAAAAATCTGAATGTGTACTTAAATTCACTTTATTGTCCCAAAAAGGACACTTGTTGTGCATCATGATGATTAAAAACAACAATAAATCACTTATGATGCAGTTAATATGTACATAAATAAATAAAACACACACACAGAGAGAATATAAAGCAGGGAAAATATTGTTTGCAAGTTATAAATTTTACTCATAGTATGAATGCAGATGGTACAAATTAAGTTTTACATTGGTTACAATGGCTGACTGTTTCTACAGAGTGAGGACACTTTGTTTGTGTACTAACCAGTTAAATGTATAATAGAAATACCACTCAGCTGCTCTCAGGCTTGTTAAAGTTTCCCTGAAATATCATGAGGACCAGGGCTCTTGCTGTCTTTATCAAGGCTGAGAAATCAATGTAATGTAATGTAATCAGGTACTGCAGTGCCATCTGTGGGTAATGAAGTCAGATCATGCTTCAAGCTGTTTTATACAAGTCCTCTTTAAAGAGAGAGCGAGATCACAAATGGTTAACAGCACAAAAATACTTGGTGTGCTCAGAGAGGAAGTCTGGCTGCTGCTCAACAAAAACACTGGTGCTGATTGATAAAGAAACCCTCTGACTTGCAAAATAAAATGAACCCACATGGCTCATGCATGCATTTACACGACTTTAACTGATAAATCCATTGTCATTAGCTTAGCTCTACATGCTTAACAAGAGACAAACACCATAAAATTAGAGCAAACTCTAGCTGAAGCAACAACAACAACAACAACAGTTTGGTTTAAAGATGTCAGGCATACCTTCTCTGGATCGAGAGACATGCTGATTGCCGGTTTTTGTCTGGTTTCTCTTACTGGGATTTTTCTCTGTCCAGATGAGTATTTTATATGCAACTTCTGATTATGTAACACGCTGCAGTGAGAGGGGCCCTCCCAAGGGAGAACTGAAATTCCAGCCCTTCCCTGACTTCCGGATCCTTTTGTTGGGAGCATTTCTTTTCCTATTCTAGGATCTAAATGAATCCTAGAATTGTGTCAATGAAAACATTACTCATGCATTCAAATCACTTTATTTGGTATGACATTTTAAATGGACAGTATTGCAAATGCACGATATACAATACATTGATTAGAAGTTTGGATGACGTTACAGTAATATTATCACATGACCACTGAACAAAAAGCAATGTCATGCAATGACAAAGCTTTTTATTTATGACTGTACAGAGGTTTAAGTGAGGGAACAAATGTGTTCCCCTTTGAAAGGTAAGCTTTTAAAAGTCAGAAGGAAATCTTGATTTTCAAATCCAACATAGCTGTAGATAAAGAGAATAGGCTTTCTGGCTGGAGTTAATCTACTTTAAAGACACATCAAGGAGAGTAAAAACATTTCTGGGCTTGTGGCCTTTATCAGCATTATTGTTCCAGTTTAGCAGTTATGCTTAACTACTTTCGCAAGTATTAAAAAGATAGCAAAAATCTCCTGCATGCATGTGTTTTATGCTTACATTTTTAATATGGGGACAATAGTTAGAACATCAGTATCATAGTTACTGTAGTGACAAACGATAAGTCATTTTTTGCAGGTCAGTTTAATGGAACTTATTATTAAAATCACAAACATCAAAATATAATCTTTGAAATGTAAACATAAAACCAGAATTGATGTTCACAGAAGGAACTGAAAAATAAATGAAAAGTTAAAAATTACAACTGCACATTGGGTTTGTTTGAACAAAAAGGAAGTTGCAGATTTTAGCTTGCAAAACACATTCTAAGACCAAAGATCACACAAACACTATTCAGAGGGGTAACGTACAAGCAAGATCAACTCTAAAGAAAAGAGTCAGAAGAATATGGTAGGAATGATTAATTAGCATGTTAAAGAGAGAGCCCTGCTATAGGCTGGCAGTAAGTTCATGCTGTACCCCACCTTTCAAATTATGTTAGGGGTGAAGGGCTCCACCACCCTGTGACTCTGAGGCATCGAGCTTCTTCTTAAACACACTTCTATGAGAAGACTTTAAGTGCAGGCTAAAAACGTATTAGTTTCTGTTGAGACTAAAGACTGCGGGGACAGAGTATTTCAGTCTGTGGCAAGGTTATTATAGCTCACTAAAACTAAACTAAAAATTAAAACTAGATGTGAAAAAGAAATTCAGTAAAATAAAAAATCTAAATATATCATATTTTTAAAAACTAAACTTATAAAAAGTTAAAACAAACTAAAATTAATCTGTGAACTTTAAAAAAAATGTTCATTAGTTTTCAAAGAGTAAATATAGTATTAGTGTTTGTTATTTGGGGGGAATTTTATTTTATTTTTTATCAAAACTTGCCAGATGAGGCTTTGATGGAAACATTTATTGAGTCTTTTGATGTCTACAAGACTGTGAGCATTGCACGATCCAATAATAATGAATAGCAACTAAAAATAAGACTGAAACTAATAGAAACTAAACATTTTCAAAAAAAGTAAAGATTAAACTGAAACGAGCAAATTCTCTTGGGTATACTGCAACTAGACTGAATTAAAAGCCAAAAGTCAAAGCAAAATAAAAAATAAACACTAATTAGATCATTACAAAAACTTGAATAACTCTGGTCTGTGGATAGTCTCCCACTCTGTGGACTCCTTTGAAAAACAGTTTAAGACTTTTATTTTGTTATAACCATCTTTTATTATGTATTTTTAATTGATTGTTTCTATTAATTGTTCTTTAATTTCCTAGGATATTTTGTCGTGATTATCCCTAGTGTTTTTATTAATTCATTTTTATTTATTTTTTTGTTACTTAGGAACTTGATGAAGGGAAACCTTTATTCCCTTTTAACCCACTAGGTGGTACCATGAGACAACATTAAAAGGCTAAGATGAATACAAGACTGAAATAAAAGATTTGAAATATGCAGGGAAAGAAAAAAGTCGATTTTTTTTATTATCTTAATCCTGTTACAAAGAGAGAATATCATTAAATGAACTATAAAGATTTCTTTTTTTATGCACATACTGAACCTATAAGCCGATGCAGTAACCCTTTCAGACCGAACGGTGGCGATCATCATGTACAGATACAGTTTATTGAAGCCGTTAATGCAGAAGAAGAAAAACGTACACAACAGAGATGGCGTCACCCGGCGAGGCATCGGTGGATGAGACACACGTGGGTAAAAAGAAGAAGGTAAATATAGATAAATAATTTCTAGAAGCATATCGTCGCAGCCGTTTGAAGCTATTGGTGACTGCAGCTGAGGAACGCAGTTTTATAACTAATAAACAGTAAACGTAAGGTAGTTTTTTCTTGCTAGCGTCAAGCGGCTAATGTGAGTAGCCCCACACGGGGGCGAAGACCAGTGTAAAAAGTTTCTGGGCTTAAATAACGAAATACGTTATAGTCACTTCTTCTAACTTGCCACTGTTCGCTCCTATCTTACAGCTGCCTGCTCGATACTGGCAGGAGCTCCAGGAGGAGGAACGGAAGGATGAAAACAAAGTTAAAAGCGACGGAGAACAGAGCAAAGAGGCTCTGCGGCAGGAGGAGGACAAGACACAGAAGGCAAAGAAGCGAAAACAAGACCAAAGTCCAAGTGATGGAGAGAAAGTCAAGCCAGAGGTAAGAGTACACGAATTACTATTGACAGACAAAAATCACGCCATCATTTCTTGCTCTTGCTTAAACTGTTGTAGTGAGGTCCTGTGTTGCATTGGAATATGTTTAAGATGCAGTTTGGGGTATTCTTATTTGCACTAAACAGCCTATGCATCGCCTTTGTACTGCTATTACACTGCAAAATCTTCCAAATATCCCCCAAAAAGCAGATTATTATGTAAACAAAGGTAGCCAGGCATGCCTAATCTCCCATGATGATTCATGAGTGTTGTACTGAATCTTTTAGCAGTAATATTTAAGTTTGAAGCACCACTTACGACCAGAAGAAGATAGCATTTAATGTTTATCATGATTCAGTCTGCTGTTACATTTTAGTATAGGTAATATAGGACTGTATATTATATATTGTTCTAACTGATGTTCATATTCTTTCAGAAGTCTGATCCATTCCCAGGCCCTGCTCCTATTCCAGAAGACAGATTGCAAAAATTCAAGAGGAAAGATAAACTTAAAAAGGTAAGCATCTGAGTGGCTCTTCTTTAAAATAGTATGCTCTTTTTTTCAGCGCTTGTCTTTCGTCTGATTTCTCTTTCGTTTTGTAATAGCCTCACCGTAAGCAGCACAAGCTGAGAGATATCATAGCTCGCTCAGAAGACGCTTCAGAAATGGCCCAGAAACAAGCAGCACGGTTTGACCTTCTCCTCCCGGAGGAGGCAGGGTAATGTCCTTTAAATGATGCTCACCTCTTTGTGTTAGATCGTACTCTGTGACAGATATCATGTGATTTAAAAACACATGAGTGATGTTTGTCCCTGATCTCAGGTTTTTAGAAGGAGATGAAGATGAGGACACGTGTATGATCTCACAGGAGGATATTGCGGAGGCTGTGGACATAACATCTGGAGCAAAGGTACTGAGACCTTTTTATCAAATAAATGTTTCTTTGTTTGACAGGTTGTTTGTTTTAACAAATTGTACCTGAAGTGTGCACTGAAGTTGGTTAAGAAAATAATGGAAACTGATACCTGTCACCATCATACTTATGTAGTTCATCACCAACCATTTTTGCGGGGGAGAAGATGGATTTTAAAAAGGTTTTGTGTGAATGTATAAATAACTTATTAAACAGAAAAATTTGCACAGAAATTTTGAAGAAACACAGATTATGGGCTTTTGTTTGGTTTTGCTGACAAATTCACACACTGGTGATGGCAAGCTACATTATTATTACTATTACTATTTAACACATTTATTTTGCAAGCAAAGGTTTGCTGGTTCAGTTCCAACCGTAGACATAAATTTGCTATGGAGTTGTCACGGGAAGAGATTCTGCAGAGTGAGTGTTGTTCATTTCTTGTTATCTTCTCTTCCTCAGTATTTTAATCTGAAACTGTCTCAGTTTGGACCGTATCGATTGGATTACAGCAAGACTGGACGGTCAGTATCATGCAATATCATGCAGCACATGCTTATCTGTGTGAAGTGTTTTGTCTCTCTCTTGTGGAGAGAGACTGATATTTAGTGATTTAAAAGGCCAACATATCAGCAGATGGTTTAACATTTAACAAATTGCTCCTTCATGTAGTGGTGGGGTTTTTTGGGTTTGTTTTTTTTTTTTTTGTAAAACACTGATTTATGTCAAGTCCACCTAAGTTGTCGATGGGCTTGGCAGGACGACTCACCGTTTCTAGAGGAAATGCTAAGTATCCTTTATAACCTTTGTAATCTTCTAAGCAGATATGAAACGTACATATTTATTTCCAACTCTGTCTTCCTTTCTTGTTGTTGAATTGTGCTATACAAATAAACTTGCCTTGCCTTGCCTTGCCTAGAGATATCATACATACCTTTTTAGGGTTAAGGAACATGATCTGGGTTCTGCCTTGCTTCTTTGAATGCATTACTCCCTCACCAGCTGAGTGTTTTCTACCAAACGTCTGGTTGCGAAACACACCACTATCAGCGTATCTGAGTTTTGCGTTACGTTGTGAAAGTCCAGTACTTCCCTCTTGTTCATACAAAACCAAATCAGAAAAATTTGGGACAGTATGGAAAAGTATAGAAATTAGTGATTTCTAAATTTACTTTGACTTGTGTGTCATTACAGACAATATGAACACAAAATGTTGTCATGTTTTGCCTGGTCAACTTCATTTCATTTGTAAATATACATCCTTTCCTGTCATTCAGACCTGCAGCACATTCCCAAAAAGGATCCAGTTGTGGGGCATCAAGTCATGGGCCTTCTTGTAGTCAATCCAGGCAGTGCACAGGATGTTGAGCCAGGGTTTGTAGTCTCGGCTGCTCTGTCTACCAGTACCTGGTGTTTCACTCCACTGATATTGATACTCGTGCCAATTCCCTTCTGTGCCCGCTCATGTTTTGAGCCATATGCCTATTCATCTTAGCCGCTATGATGCCTGGACAGGAGCTTCCATGTTGTACTGAGCCAGGTTATTGGCTGGTAGTTAGATAGGACTGATCCATTCTGGGGATCCTTGGGCATCAGGACTTTCTGGCCTTTCTGACATCAGACACCATTCTGGGTGTCTCTTATTGACTAGCAGCTGGTTCATTTGTGCTGCTAGAAGTTCATTGAGTGCAGCTGGCTTCTTTAGCCGTGAACCATGTCCAGGCCTGGTGCTGTCCAGCCCTTCATACTTGAGACCCTTTCTTGGATGTCTAGCACTGTGATGGTTACTGGACCCTGCTCAGGGTAACAGCCTCCCCGGACCCTGTTTAGGGAGGTTGCTGTGGTCTGCCCTTAGATTCACGAGCCACTGAACATTGTTGTTATACATAGCATCCTTGTCCCATATGCTCTTCCAGTATTACTCCATCTCCAGACTTGGTGGTGCTGCTGTTCTCATATTGTTCCCCTGCCACTGAGAATACACCTTGGATGGTTCTGTGGAGAACAGCTGGTTTATTCTCCTGCCTTCTACATCTCTGGTATACCTTTTCAAGCGGCTGGCCAAGGCCGTGTGAGTCAGACTTCACCAGCACCTTTCACCATGGGCCACTCTGGAAAAAGAATGAGTCCAGCCCTTCTCCAGGAGTTTGGTTCCAGGACCCTTATGTCGTGGTGAACCTAACTATATCTAGTTATCTAGGTTTCTTTCCTGCTAGCAAGACAGTTCACTTCCCACAAAACAAAGTCTGTGATGCTTTGGGGCTGTCAATATGCCTAGCCCTTGCCTTTGCCTGCTACCCAGATTACACTGACCCTGGCCCTGGTGCCTGTCATTGTGCATAGTAGGCCCACAGGATGATGGATTCATATGATTTCTTGAAGCTGTGCCTGAACAAGCCTCATTAATCCAGATCCAGTCACCAGAGTCTAGCTGGCAACCTCCCTCCCCAATCTGGCTCCAAGAGGGGCCTTGATTTCCCATGGTGAGATTATACGGTGCAGGAATTTCCATTAGCATGTTTTGAATCGCTCTTAATCTGGTGCCTCCCTTGTGACCAATTTCTAATGGGAGACCCTATTAGACAATACTGCTCCCAGGGCCAGGAGGACGATCCCCTGTGATAAGGTACATTTGTATTTTATATTTAGTTTATAAATAGTATTGACTAATTAAAATATGATAAGAATAGTTGTATTCATTTTGTCTTGGGTAAACCACATTCTCAAAACCCCCCAACAGAGGAATTCATATTGATTTCAGCTACACAAACAATACATTGTTGCTAGTTTGGTATTTCTTGACGGAACAATGCAGATTTTTTACCTGGCTGTAGAATGTAACTAAACCTGAATAAAATCAAATAGAAAACCCTGCAAAACAAATGGACCAGTCATTACCTTTTATTTTTTTTATCACACACAGAGAATAAAAAATGGGCTGTTAGCACTTAGTAAAAAACTTTAAAGTAAACTTTCGTATTACTTCATACATTTTAATCTACACACCAAAGTTTCAGTATTGCAGTACAGTGTTACTGGTAATGTCCAATATTTTTTTGTTTGTAGTGACATAAATATTCACTTTCAAACATGAAATGCCTTTTAATTTGTGATTAATAATATAAAGCACATTGATTTAGTTAAAGATTTAGATAAAGTCAATCAGTGACCCTTTTTACATTCTATATGCCTGGCTCTGTTCAAATTTCAGTGCGGAACTGAAGTGTGGGATCTTTCATCTTCTTCTTGTAGTCTTCATCAAACACTTCATTCTGAGCGACGGTGAAGTGGTTCTTCCAGTCAGCAACCTTTCCTGCAGAGACACAGATAAAAATCAGTCAGGTATTTTTCCTAATATCACCTCATGCATCACAATATGGTTCAATGTACCTTTTCTCATGAAGGGAGAAATCTTGAAATCTAAAATGGAGAACGTGGAATAGTTGGTCATCTCATTCTTTTTCATGTTATCAAACTGGACTCCACCTGCAATCATTTTCTTATCCTCAGCTGAATTGGACAAACTGAGGAAGCTGCAGAGTTTGTCTATTTCCCGTTCAGTGTCCTGAAAAGATAGATAAGAGTTATTTGGAGTAGGGATGCATCTAAAGGCTGCAGGACAGTAGCTCTCGATGACTGGAGCTGGAGACCCCTGATCTTAAGCATACCACATTATCTGTCAAACATAGTGGAGATGATGTTTTGGCATGTATAGCTGCCAGTGGAACAAAGTCACTGTTTATTGATGATGTGTCTACTGATAGAAGTATCAGGATGGTTTTAGAAGTGGACGGGGCTATACTATCTGCTCAGATTTATCCAAATGCTGCAAAACTGATGAGACGGTGCGTCATAATATAAACAAATAACGACTCGAAGCAACCCAGAGATTTCTTAAGAGAAGGAAAGGGGATAGTCTTCAGTGGCAAAGTCAGTTACCTGCTCTCAATCCAATAGAGCATGCAGTTTAGTTACTGAAGACAGAGATCCACACATGCAGCACCTGAAGGTGGCTGCAGTAAAGGCCTCGAAGTACATCTCAAAGCAAGTCCATATAGGTATACGGTAACTATATTAGTGTGTCCAGTTATTTTTAAGTTAAAACTGTCACGGTCCCCGTGTCTCTCTGGCTGGCCCACGCTGGCTACAGGTTTTGTTGTTGTTCATTTTGGTTTTCTTTCTCTCCTCCTCCTCTCTGCCTGGGTGGAGCTCATTACGGGCTCTCGCTCTTGGCCCACGCACCCGTGTGATGATGTCCACCTGCGGCTGATCGGGCTGATTTCCCCAGCTGCTATTTAAGGCAGTGGCACAGAGCAGCTCACCGCTGGAACGTTAAACTACCTGAGTTCGTGCTCGCGGCTTATTCGAAGAAGTTTTGTTTGTTTTTCCTGTTGTGGAACTAACCGTGCACTTCTTGTCTGTAGATTCTGGACCAAATCACCGGACCTGTCCAAGTGGGGCAGTGTGTGGAGTGTGGGAGCGAGTGCGGCTGAAGAGGAGTGCGTGTGTGCGGAGGAGCGGTGGCGGTGACTGAGTGGAAAAGGAAGCGCGTGTGTGGATTCCCCCCCCCCCCCCCCCTTCTCTCCCTGGAGCCCTGGACCCCCTCCCAACTCACTGTACATATATTTTGCACTAAGGTGATCCCCATTGTAAATAAATCCCCTTTTGTGTTTCCTTGAAAAGAACTGTCTGCGCGTGAGTCCGTTCAGTAGCCATGACAAAAACAAACTGACTGCTTGATTTAACAGCCTTTCTGGTGGTACACAGAGGCAAAATTACAAAAGAAATGTGACATTGTCCAAATACTTATGGACCTAACTGTATCATCACAACATTACAGCCATCATTACAGCATTATAAGCTACTAAATGAGAGCTTCAAGCAAGTAGCGTAAAGAGAAAGGAACTCACAAAGGAATCAGATTACCTCAATCATATCTTCATAGAACATGTAGTGAATGTTTGAGTAAGTCTGTTTCTTCTTCCACCAGCCATTCACATGGTCATACCAGGAGCCAAACACCACTAGGGCCACAGAAACAGGAAAATAGCAGTCATACAGTAAATGAAAATAACTTTAATATAGTATTTTATGCATACTTTTTCCTTCCATGAATCTGTGGATGTAGTTGCTCCAGTCGCCAGGCTCTGGGTGAGCAATATTCATGCGATCAAAATGGAAAAAAGACACCATGTTGTCCTTTGCATTGCGGGCTACATAGACAATCTACAAAAGATTTTTAAAAAGGAAAAACGAACTCTAACTCAAATGAATCTCAAATTCTCTTGGTAGGCTTCAAGTTTAACTTAAGCCAAGTGGAAAACTGCACTATTATCGGTATTATTATCAGCTTCTTGATGATACACTGAGCTGATGCAAACAACAGACAGGAAAATGCAACCTTGCAGTTTTGTTCCCAGAAGGACTTTGGCACAAACTGGACAGGAAAATGAGTCTTAATGAGTCGAGGGGTGGTGGGCAGCTTGTCTGCCAGGTCTTTTCCTGCATGGAGGGATGAAGATGAAAAAAACACAAGTTTGACTGTGTAAAATGTTAATACCAACTAACCAACGGTAACATAGCGATATGATTTTAGTCAAGTTTGAGGAAAAAGAGGCCAACAATCCATAATGGTTTGTAGGTGTTTGTGTAAAATTGGTACATTTGATCAAAAACCTGAAAACAAAGGTGGAACGGCAATCTCCAGGAAGGGCACTCTCTCAAAGATAGGGATGGTTTTCTGTCGTTCTGTCTGACCAAAATACAGCAGGTCAAGAATCTGGGAGACCCATGTGGTTCCTAAAGTGAGAGGGGGGAAAAAGAAGTTAACATGACCCCTACACTGACC